AAAGAAAATGATATTTTTATATATGGAATATATGATTTAATACTATCTAATCATAAGCAAATCTATGGCTATATGCGTACATCAGATACTAAACGAGCCTATGTTCTAGCAAATTTAACAGATCGTGTAGCCCAATTTACATTATATCAAGGTTTATCATCATCACAACTTGTTTTAACAAATTTACTTGAACCAGTATCTGAACATAAGGTAAAGAAAATAACTCTTTTTTAGTTTTTGGCATTCTTCATAATTAATATTAATTATCAATGATTTAAATGATAAGTATAAAGTTTGGACTATAGAATGCGTTATATATATAGGCTGATAGAGAAAGACTTTCTCTAGAACCTCACATATGTTTCTTTGTATAGTTAACAATTACCGAAAAGCAAAAATCCTTTATTTTAGGACGAAAAATCATTCAAATTTCATCCTTATGAGATTCGTGTATATATAATCGATCGCAAAGAAGAATTGCATCATCATGAACGAAAGCAACATGCTATTGATCAGTCTGAAAATCTAAAATCAATACTGTCAACTGTAACAAAAGGAAAAGATAATACGAATGAATCATTAACAAAAGAGCAAAAAGTTGCTTTACAAAAACTGGAACAGATGTCTCATAATGCTTTACATCAATCAGAACAAAGTCAAAAGGATATTATATCAGCATTAACAGAGGCAACAGCAAAGGCTTTATCTGGAACACAAACATCAAAACAACAAACAAAACATAAATCACCTTCAATATCAATAGACCAAGAGAAGGCCATACCAGCAGATAGTGCGGAAATTGATCTTGAAAATGAACCAATATATAAGAAACGAGAACGACAACGATCACTTGTACTTAATCTTGGTAAGAAATTTCATTGATATTTATGAAACTTTTCGAACTTGTTTGGTGGACGAAGGCCTGAAAAACTGATTTTTGTGTTCTTAGTTGAAAATTTTAGGTAAAGACAGATCCTTCTAAGAATAGTTTACAATGAAACTTTCAATTTTTTTTGTTTGCTGCCATCCTAAAATGAGAACTTTTATTTTACCAATGTATATCTGCGATGTAAAAAGCACAATTTACCATCACCATATCTTAGAATAGAAATAATAAAAGGATCTAAAAATTTCACAATGAACTATTGTTTCGAAGATCTATTTTTATGCAAAACTTCAAGTCGGAAATCAGTGTTCCTGAAGGGAACAACAGTATTGGCTTCATAAAATACAATAATAATGCAGTATCTCGGCAGCAATAAGCTAAAGTTCAGAAGTTTTATTTTTCGGAATAAAATTGATTCACTAGATAAAAACAAAATAAAGTCTTCGTTTTCTGTATATACTCTCGAGACGTGGCTCTTTTCGATGAACACACATCCAAGTTGATATTATGTTTCATTGCTAAGAAATAAATATCGACTTCTTCCCAAAAATGTTTTCATCATTTATTATTTATTGAAAGCAATGGATATCAGTGCATGAGAGTGTCAATGCTTAAATTAAATTCTATAGAAAAAAATTCTTTCTTGAAAATTTCTGATTGAAATAGTTTGAAAACATTTTGTTATTTATGTGTTTTACTACTTAAAGGAAGTATAGCACCTGTTGTGCAAACTGATCCAAGTCCAGTTGATCAACGTCGTCGATCATTTTCTACTCTAATACCTGAAAGGTCAAGAAGACCAAGTTTTATAGGTCACCATGTTGATAATTCATCGGATGAAGATGATGATAGAAAGAAAACAACAACAAATGAGCTCGAAGAAGAATCAACTGATCTAAGTACAAGAGATATTGATTATTCTGTTTTATATGATGATACAATCGAAGATTATAGTTTTACAAGTGCACGTAAACCAGCCCAAAAAGAAACTTTGCATGACCAACAAGAAATAATGTTACAACAAGTCAAAGAACAAGAATAAAAAACTAAAATATTGTCTATTTCTTGTCCTTATTTCCTATACATAGACTATCCATTTGTTCTCTTATTGTACCAAGCAGAAGAAAATAAAATAAAAATGAATATTTTTTCAATTCACACAATGATTATACATTGATCATAATGATTACTTGATGTTTTATTCTAAAACAATGTTTTTCTATTGTGATGATGAAAATTGAGAAAGAGAAACAAACATTTATTTTGAGATTTGCGTTTCTTTGCTTATATATGTATTCCACTGTATTTTGTATTCAGTGAATCAGCTAGTATGGTTGTTTGCAGCTTGAAAAATCTACTTTTTTAGAATGAAAAAAACGAGTACGTTATCATGATGTTTCCATGATAACTTTTTCTCGGAACAAACTTTCAAAGTAAATTTTTGATCATCGTAAAGTCTGTTACCTTAGCTACAAAAACAAATTAAAAGACTACATTTAAAGCAAAAAACTTTCGAAAAGTGTGGGTTGTTTTGAATCACTCTTGTGTAAGAGATCCTTTTTGGATGAGTGCGTTACTATGACATTCTATTCTCCGAGAGTCGTCGCAATTAAGTCAAATGAAATGTAAGTTTCAGCTCTTAATCACATCAATTTATTGAGTTACGACTATTCGGAGGTCGAAAACTGGGTGACAGTGTTACCTGTAGACGACCTATATATATTCGCTCTCGTCCCCTTT